ATGAAGGGGGAAGTGGAAAGAAGAGTGGAAGGGGGGCACCCGAGGGGCGTCCACCGTATATTATTTTTCTCTTCTTCTCTTTTTTCTTTTTTTTTCTGTCCTTTTTCTTTCTTTTTTTCTTTTTTTCTGTTTTTTTTCCTCTTTCCTTGCCCTCTGATTTGAGATTGTATAAAGCTGAGCACCAACAAACTGTATCTTTAATCCTGATCAAGGCCAGACTCTAGGCCAAAACGTCGAAATAAACCACGTTGTGACCGCTCACGGAGGATCTACTGGACTATATATATATATATATATATATATATATATATATATATATATATATATATATATATATATATATATATACTAAAGAAGTTTTTTTAATGAGCCAAACGTGCTTCGGAAGATCTATCTATCTATCTATCTATGTATCTATGAAAATGGCGAGACTGCATAGTTTTATGGACCTATTATGTTAAGGTCTTGGTATGACATGTGAGCTGAAAAATGCCTACAAAAACAGATCTCAAGTTACCAACATTATATGCTCTTGGTTCAATTTTCGACGTATATCTTCTAGTAATCGATTGGTGCCATGAATTTTTTTCTGATTTTTAACAATATGTAGCTCTGTTTGTTTGTATAGTGCCACAAAATGTAACATAACTAAATACAAGTGCCGATTGTGTAATTCATGTAACGCACCTCAAATTTTCTGCAACGTAATGTCTTCGAGTGACTGAAGTGCCCAATTGTACGCTAATATAATCAGCACTTCCCGCTCCAATTAACCATCTCATCAGTGACGTTTAAATGAGGTAAGCGTAAGTGTTATTTTACTTTGTGGTCTATATGAAACATACTTATCCCATAAACATTCAGCCAGTCTCACTAAATAGCAGAAAAGTACCACGCCATCTTCAATAAAGAGTTATCAGTCGGTTCAGTGAGATAGCTTGCCACGCTAACGACAAGCGTCTCTGCCCGGCATCTATACTGTAAAACAACATTAGTGTACATACATAACCAATATGAGAATAATGTCCGTCAATATTACAACCAGAGCTCAGTATAGCCAACAGAACGGAGAAAAATACATGGCTGTTTTTTTCTTCAAGGTCTTACCGAATTAACACCACCATGGTTTAACACGCACATATGTTGCGCAATCTCTCTAGTATACTGGCCTGGCACATGTGCTCGCAGTTTCCGAGCGAGCAGCAAGCATGTAAACAAGCCCCGGATAATAGTCAATGCACCGGCACGGGAAAGTATGGCCTGTAATTCCGTTTCTGCGTGTTAAGGGGGGCAGAGCAGCTGAAATTCCACGAATAAGTCAAGTGTGCGGCCCAGTTTTCAAGAGTGACAGCAAGGTGTGCTAGTGACGTAGGTAATTTGAAGCATGGCTCACAGACAATCGTGTTGTAAGCGGACAAGAAAGAAAAACAGATAATCTTGTTCAAAATATAGATGGGTGATTTGACAAAACAGTCTGGTCTGAGTTTCTGTGCCTACTGATTTATTTTATGAAATTTAGCAGTGAGCTTTCCGTGCAATTGTAAGTGTGAGACTGGTGTACCGAGAGCTATGTGCCGATTCGGTTTCCGAGATGATGACGAGCAATGGCAAAACTTGACAAATATGCACCATGTTTACTTTTCTCCAGCGCCATGTAAAAGGGAATGTTTTTTTCAGCAGAGTAGTCCCGCAGGTTTGTTTCTAAACTGAAGAAAAATAACAGATTATCGACACTTCCGAAGCCCTCCACTACGGCGTCTCTCATAATCATATTGTGGTTTTGGGACAGAAAACCTCAGATATTAATATTTTGCTGTTCCTTGAACAATGACGTCGAAAAAAGAGCTCGTCCAGTGACCGACTGCATACGTTCACATCACACAGCACAGTTTCGAATTGCCTCGCGTGTGTCTCTGCTATTTAGTTTCTCGCAGTGGCCATATTACCATGACATTCATTTCATGAAAATCGCCAATATCGTAAGTTCACAACTGCACTTTTTTTCTTTTGGGGCGATGGCAATTTCACGGGCTCTTTCAACGGTTTTTCGCCGCTGCCGTCACATTCTTTATAAATATAAAGTCGATAACGTTACTCCACTCATATAGTATGTATTCAGCGAGTCAAAGCGAGCTCGCGCTGGCGATTAACGCGGCTGAAACAGATTAAATGAGCCGGTCGTCCATGTCGCAGGGAGGGAGCATGCGATAGCATCACCTCACGTTTCAGGCCTGCCAATTTCTCTTCAAACGCACCCCCCCCCCCCTCCTCTTCATCCCTAGGGTGAAGGAGCATGGATGCCGGGGAGGGGCGTGGCTTGGTTTGGCGTCGCTCAAGCAGCGAGTGCGAACTTTGACCATGAGGCCGCGGTCGCGAGAGCTGACTGGCTCGACATCTCGGTCGACTTCACGAAACAGCTCGTATACCCTCCTACGTGCTTTGCTCTCATTGCTTCGTGTTAAAACGATAAACTGAATGAAAACCACTTCTCTCACTGCAGTGACCATATTCCCTTGCATGAGTGTTTTGCCGTGGAGCTGTTAAAACCTAGCTTTTAGGCACTCGGCCTCTGACTATGGCGAAGAAAAAGAAGGAAAAAGGAAGAGAGTATAACAGTATCAGCCGCCTATAAGCTCAAGGAGAATGTCGGGGTGAGGGGGGGGGGGACAGAGAGGAAAGCACCGCATAGCCATGCATTGCTTAATATGGTGATGTGATGAGAAAGGGATGTGAGAGTCAGAAGGTGCGGTGAGGGGGTTCGGAAAAGGAGGAGGAGGGGAGAGGTTAAATACGTAGCAGAGTCATCTATAGTATAGTATAGCAAATTCTGGGAGTGGGAACTGACAGAGAAGAGTGGTAATGTTTGGGTGAGGTGGAGGAGAAGTAGGAGAGTGTAGCATAGTATAGCAAAGGTGAGTAGAGGAGGGAGACGAGTTGGAGGTTGGAGCCTTGAAGGTAGTCAAGCGGAGAGGAGGATCCTTCAGGCCTACACATGCCTGTGTTCACCAAGATTTGCACTACCTTGCATTTCATGGTTGAGGCTTTCCCTCAGCTCCGTTGTACCTCTTACGTTACGACGTCAGGCAAATCAAGACACCCACAAATATATAGTTACGCGAGATAAGATGTAAAAGAGTTGGCTACAAGCCTTACTTCGTGTATCGTACACTTTTTTGTGATCACATTCAGTTCTATGACTTTGCGGGTGAAACCACATTTCTTTTCTTGTCGTTCACTCCAAGCTTCGATTCTCTCTTGTCCTCGCTACTTAATTTCACTGTCACTGTGGTTGCACTCTTGGCATGCAAAAGGTGCAGCGTGCTGAATGCCGACCCTGCTCTCTAAATCAAGCTTATTCATGTCAAGCGAGATGAAAGAAAAATTGGCCCCATATCTGCATGTTTCACTGCAAATATAATCGCGAAACCACTTTGTGTCTGGAGAGAGTAAAAGAAACATTTATTTGATGTTCTGCGCAAGAAAATTGGGGAATGGTGTTCAGGAGGCGCTGCGTTAGAGTGTCTTTATGCGTTCAGTGGAGGTGAACGAGCGCACCGAGGCACAAAACCCATGAACGCTATCTGCCAGTTATTTTGGAAAACGAAGGATGGCCTCTGATACAGCCAGCACGCGTAGTGCGTGCCCGTCTCAGAGGCGATAAAGTGTAGAACGCAATGCGACGACTAGGTGCCACAACCGTTTCGGCTAAACAGAGCGTTCGAAACACTTGCCTTTTTGTGCATAGTGTTTCATTGTGAGTGCAGTGAGCTACGGTCCTTAGATATACTTCTGTATGCATTTTCTAGTATAAAGTGACACACCGCATTATTGACGTGCCGTTAATTTGCCTCGAATAGGTGTCATAATTGCTTTAAAGACGATAGTCTTTCTTGGGGACATTCGATGCAAAAATTTTGGTCTGTCTGTCTGTCTGTCTGTCTGTCTGTCTGTCTGTCTGTCTGTCTGTCTGTCTGTCTGTACAGTTGTCTGTTCACCCTTATTGGTACCCTAAGTGGCACCAGATGATACCCCAAACGGTCGACCCCATCTGCAGCACCCACCGATATTGCTCAAGGTTCAGCATTCATACTTGTGCGATCTTCAATTAAAAAGCAATTATTGCGCATATCTGAGGCAACATAACAACACGTCAATATTCTGTGTGTGTGTCTTTTACTGTAAAAGGCAAACATAAGTAATTCTAGGGACCATGGCGTTTATCACGTGGCGCTAACCATGCAACACTTGCACGAAAAGGCAAGTGTTTACAAAGCTTTGCTAAGATGACATGGTGGTAACACCTATCCGACGGCTTGCATTCTACACCTTATCGCCTCCGAGACGGGCGCGCACGCCGTGCGCTTCATTTTCCGAGATTACTGCCATATAGCTCTCATTTCTCACGTGTGACGTGACTTGATGCGCTAGTTCAGCTCCGATGCGCGCTCGAGGTCTTCAGAATACCATTCACCAATTTTCTTGTGCATAACATCAAGCAAACGTTTTGTTCAGTCTCTCCACACGCAAGACTATTGTCTTTCGACGACATTTGCAGTGTAACATGCAGATACGGCACCAATTTTTTAATTGGCAATCGTACAACTATGAACGCTGAAACTTGAGCAATATTGGTGGACGCTGCAGATTGGGTGAAATTTAGGCTGTTTCGGGTATCGTTTCGGCGGAGAAACAGACAAACGGACAGACATACAGTCAGACAGACCAAAAGTTTTATGTCAAAGTGTCCCAAGTGAGACTATTGTCTTTAAAATGCCACTACCTTCCACCTCAACCAGAACTGGTGGCGCCGCACTAGCAGCACTGCGATCTGCTCTCTTGAAGCAGCGTAGGCACCAGTAGAGCTTAATACGATTTCTTACCGCAAGCTTGTGTACTTCAGACCACTGCAGACAGCGTAAACAATTAACCACCTCTAATTTTCCACAGGTTTCTCATCATTGTAGACAGCGTGAAGATTAACCATCTCTGTTTTTCCACAGGCATTCAAAAACAGTCTCGAAGAATCAAGATATAGTATGTCAAACTTCAGCCTGCACCATAATTTTCCAGCAGACAGTAAGCAAGTGTTCTATGCTGCGCATATGATGGTGAGAACCGTCTCCTTGCAAATACATCTACTCCTGACAGTAACTATAAACGCGTTGTGATACTGCTATGTTTATCTTGTAGGCTCTTTGTGACGAAACGGATACAGCCCAAAATTCATTCATCTATCGCATGTTCAACGAAGAGTTCTCCGATTTCTACAGGTGAGCGACGTGCGATTCTTAATTTCACGGCAGTGCGAGTGAAAGTGAATCCTTAGCAAACGTTTTACTTCCAGGCAAAATGTTCCCTTCTACAATTTTCCGGAATACGAAGACCAGATCTCAGACTGCGAGGCCACCCCGGCGAACGAGTTGTCGAAGCTTCGCCGCTGTCGAATATGGAACGAATATTGAGAAAAAGACAAGCATTCGCAGAGTAACAATGGGAAACTTTTCAAAGCCCATCTGTATTTTTCTTGTACACTTCTCCTCCGGCCGGCGACATTAGTGTCACTGCTTCTATTTTATCGTAATCTCGTATCTGACTAGAAAAGAAAGTAGACTATATGTCGTATTCTAATGGTTAAAATTTCTATGTGCACTTACGGAGAGACTGCCTGTTTGTCCGTATGTCAAATAAGAGAACACTATCGCCGATATGCGAAAATAAATGAATAAAATAAAACAGATTTTCCCAACTATTGATATGTGGGGTTTAACGTCCCAAAACCAAAAACCGCTCTCATTCGCTCTCGCACTCAATTCTAAAACGCACTCACAGAGCCTGAGACACGCACAGCTTAAAACACGCACTTGTGCACTGACTCTCAAACACACAGTCTGAAACACACAGAGTCCATAATAAAGCACAGTGAGAGACGCCCGCGTGCGTGCCGCTTGCTTTCCTTTTTTAGACTCCTTCCTTATTGTTTACCCATGCAATGCGGCCATGTCCTAATTGCAGTTTAAAGTAATGAAAAGCAGCGCCGCTTAATTTTTTTCAGTGTTTTCTTGTAGAGTTTCGGTTCATACACTTGCATTACTTTCAATATGCGATGCCTTATAAATATTAGATTACTAGACATCTTCTTTGAACTAATGTAAAACGATTTCAGATTGATGGACCATCTTATTGTTCTCATTGATGTTGTTCTCCTTGCTGTTGTCTCTAATTTGTTCATGACACCTGTACCCCGCTCAATCAAGCTATACGACGAGTGTGATTATTCTTTCAATAAAATTTATCTCGCTCTCTTAGTGTGAACAAAGAAGGAGCAGAAATCACAGTTTTTAGAGTCAACGTGGTACAAACTGTTTTATACGCAATATGCATGAAGTAATCTCGCTAAGTTTTGACGCGAGTCTTACGGCGTTATTGAAGGCTCTAGGACACAATTTCTTGGTTCGACAATACGAGTAACTTTCGCTTCATCGCGAAGCAGTTATTTGCTTTTAAACATGGTAATATTGTCATGTTTGCCGTGTTCATTGATATAATCCTATGCGAAGCTTCAACCCTCAGCTATGTAAGCTTATTTTTACAAAGCTGTTTTTCTGTGTTTTCTATATTTACTTCCATCTCGAGGTTCCCGAGCAGTCCGTCGGTAATAAATACGTTACTATCATAACTGGAAGTATATTGCAACAAATGTAACAACCTCCCAACAAGAATGTATGATTTACAAGGTTTAATAAGAGTGAACGTGTGCCCAAAGCCAAAGGAATTGCACAGCAGTTAGGAAAAAGAACCGAACGTCCGTTGTCCTCACGAGCTTCAGCCTCGAGTGCTGGCGTTTTCATCCTTACGTGCGTTGACCGCTCAGCCGAAGCTCTTGCGTACAAGGCCCGCTCGTGCATTGCCGCTGGCTTCATCTGTTGTAGTGGTGCCATGAGCGCTTCTCTTGTTTACGACGTCTGCGTCACGCGGAGCGTTGGCTATTTCGTGGGGAAATAAGGAACAAAGCACGCATCATTATTAAAACGTGTATATACACACAATACATTCTCATCCAATAGACCTTATGCAATACTGCTGCCATCTGTCGGCCGTAGTGTGCATACAGCCATCTTAGAGCCTAGAGCGCGGTGCAGTCCGCACAGTGAGCGTGTGTATAGGTATACGTAAGGCGTATATCACACGTTACGCGTGTATTGCCTGATAATCGCAACGCTGACGCATTGCTGTGTTCCTTGCTGAACACAGAGTTTAACTCGGAATGCTGTGGTGCAATTATATACAAATTCCAAATCCGGACGGAGGCGGTCTGTCGGTGACGTCAAAAAATGGGCGGTCCGCAGCGGTCGCGAGGACGAAGGGAAGTGAACAGCCAATGAGCGAAATGAAGCCTCGCGTCATCATTTTGACGTGGACTTGGGGACCGCATAGCAAAGTAAAAAGTGTTTGTAACGTGTTGAAAAATGTTCAACTACTATTGATAATTATCAAATCGTGTTGGCACAAGTTTGCAAGCGTTTATTAAGGAATACGGCACATTATAAACGTATTTTTTTCGTTATTGTTTTGAAATAAAGCTAAATTTAGCGGGACGGTATGTGGTGGCGCAAAATACAACCCCATTTCAAGCAGTTACTGTTTTCATATCTCCTCCACTATACAAACCTAAACGGCGCAACTTTCGAAGTTGTTGATCGTGGCGGAGGTCAACTGTACCAGTAGTCAACAGCAGCAGCGGCCCATCGGCGTTATCCGAGGCTCAGCGCGCGCTGGTGCTCGCCTTTATGGACGAACATCCCCAGCTCGTGGCGAATGCCATCGAGCTGCGGCACGGCGTCGCCATCACCGACCGGTGGCGGCTGCGGCAAGAGCTCAGCGACGCGCTGAACCATGAAGTGCCTGCGCAGGAATGGCAGGCTTGGTGGCGCAGGCTGGTTCACGAGGCCCGCCGTTACGCCGCCGCCATCAGAGACGCATAAACGTGAGAGACCGTCGAATGGCACGGGCAATTTGTTCTGTAACATTAGTGTATATTTTCAGGGGCACTGGAGGGGGTTGGCTGTTGGCTGCCTGGCTTCCGCGGCCGGGTTCTACAGTTGACTGGGATGACACGCTTCAGTGGCGTTTTTGGTCTCACCTATCAACAGGCAAGCACTCTGCCGCCGCAGTATCACGGGTTCCTGAGCGGTACCATGACAGAGTTTGATATCTGAAGGGGTGCTTTTAGCAGAACCTTGTTAAACAAGAATAAAGCGCACGAGAAAGTAATCAAAAGTGGGTAGGTTTAACTAAAATCTCAGTTTGCAGCCCTTGCAGTACAAGAGGTATTAATTTATCATAAAACACGCAATGACTGCGGGCAAGTGCATGCACTAAAATGGTAATACATGACATCAATGACCACTGAATAGCTGCAGAACATTTCCGCAGATGTTTAGTACTTAAGGTTGCAAAATAGCCAGAGTAACGAATACCCATTTTCTGAAAGATCATGCTTACTACACTTTCCAGCAGGCGAATGTTCCCACTGCTGCAGTGGAAATGGATGTGGAGGCCACTGAAGCGGCTGTAGATGGTAGTGACACAGTAACACGCAAGCATCTGAGAACTTAGTGCTTTATTGAGTGCAGGACTGGAACCTTGAGCAGGGCGACAAGGTGCTCAAGGTGAGTAGACCCTTTGTTTACATTTTACATAAGGGGCATAAGCATTCTTCATGTTCTATTATGATGACTGAAACCAACTTGGGCTGTAAACAAGAACCATGCATTGTATTGAGGGCATGGTATCGGGTATCTGCAATGATAAACTGCCGGGCAAAAGGTTGGTTAGCCCTGGGGCACTTTCATGGTGAGAGATGCATTTGAGGACATTAATAAAGAGCAGTTTCAACAAATGTATGTAGGTCCGCACGAAGAGGGCATAGCTTGTACACAAAGCTTCCCACTTTCAAAGGATGCCATCAGGCCAGTTGATCTTCAACTGAGGGGAAATTGTTGTGCCCGTTGCAATTCTTGGCAGCAGGAGCAGCTTCTAGCCACAAGATGGTTAAGGGTTTACCGGCAGCTCACTTAAACATTTACACCATGACGATTCATCGCAGGTGCTGTGGGAGATGAAAAATCAACCACCCGCATCGCTTCTGCAGCACGGCGTGTGGCAGCGGCACAGGAGAAGGCAGCAGGGGTGCAGGAGGGCACTGGCCATGGCTGAGGGCTTTCTGCGAGAAAGGGACACGTAGTTTAGTTTAATTTTTTGTCATGTGTTCGATGTTTTTTCTTGTCATTCATTAATGATTTGTCGGTTTCAATGTGTTTAGGTGCTGCTGTTCATGTTCAATTTTATACGCTTCGGGAGACATATACATAGTTAAGTTTGTTTTGCGCCATGTTTTCAACTTTTTATCATTCACAATTGGTTTAGTGTTTTTGATATGTTTATGTGTTGCTGTTCATGTTCTATTTTATTCGTTTTTGTTTGCATTTAGTACATATTACTAGATTTAGGTTAGCATTTACTTTGTACAAGGAGTGCAGCATTTTTTATGTTTGATATATGCATTTCTCAATGTATGTTCGAGCTGTTCTAGTGGCAGTGTTTTTTACCCACATTTCAAAGGTGTCTAGTCATTCATACGGAGACCACGAGTGTATAGTTGACATTTTCTGTTAATGTTTCTTTGATATTTGCATTGTCCCACTGTGTTTTCTAGCTCACTGTGATTTTTATTCAGCATTACCACATAGTGTAGTAATGTGATATCTTTTTTTATCACACTGTTTTGCAGTTCACTGTGATATTTTCATTTCAGCACAATGAGGCTAAGATGCAACAACTACATTCTGAATCTTGTTTGGGAGCGCTAAGCTAGTAAGTGGTCATCTCGCACAGTTTCACAAAGGAAAATGGTCATCACAGCCACATGCCAGCGATTGATTTCATCTAGTTTTCATTGTAAACGACTCTTTGCGGGAATAAGTTTCGAACGTGGTATGGTTTGGGAGCCACGAGATGGCTGAGTGAATTATTCATGCTGTATGTTATCAAAACAACTCGCCTGTTGTTTGCCGTCTTGATTTGCGTATTTTTTAGCATTGCAGCATGACTGCAGTCGTGAATTCAAATTAAATGTTATTTTAACATTCACACAATGTTTAGGACAATGAGCAAAAAAACAGCACAACTTGACGAGCACAATTGCTCATCAAGCCTGGCGTGCACAATTGAATGCTTGTAGTCAGTCACTATGAGAAGATATGGACTTATGTATCATGTGTTCATACAACATGTTACTAATGGAATCTCGATATTTATGCGTTCTGGTGAAAAGAATTTTGAGACGTTGCTGCATTGTTCGCACAATTTTGTGATAGCAACATTCAGCACAGAGTGCCGCTCATATATGCTTGCTCCAATCTAGTCTGTTGTGACTGTGATCGCTAATATGGAAAAGGGTGTTTCTGTTGCATATTTCATGTGCCATTTAAAGAAAATGCAGCATTTTGACATTGCCACCTTGCTTCATATTGAAGCACAAGTAAGTACTTTGTGTATTCAAATGTGGCAAACACAGCCCTTTCATGTCTAGATGCACTAGAATCAGTGTAAATAAATTATGTGTGGGATATGAAAACATGAAAACTCACCGTTCCTGTGTACTTCAAAAGAGGTCCAAGACAGCGCTGCTGCCGTCTCTGAGCAGCACGTTGCGTGGTGTGAGCATATGGCTCCCCCTTGGCTCTCCATCGTCATCCTCAGCTGGTGGCATGTCCACGACATACTTGTCCAAGGTCCAGTCGCCTGCATGCAACGCAATGTTGTGGAGAGCAAAGCAAGCATAGATGATTTGGGCTGCCCGATCGGGGTTGCAGAGCATCGTTCGAAAGTTCTGCAAGCATCGGAACCTGCTTTTCAACACGGCGATACACCTTTATACAACATTGTGCATGAATGCGTGCTCCTTGTTGTATCGGCCTTCGGAAGTGTTGCACGGTTGACTGCCAAGGACTGGAATTAGGAGCCATGGCTTGAGGTGATAGCCTGTGTCTCCTGCAATGTAAGCATAAAAGCTGAGTGCTCTGCCCAGATAGTAAAACATTAATACTTACCAAGCAGATATTCGCCAGGCTGCAGATGTGCAGCTAGGCGTGCACGCAGTGGGTTGTGTTCCCACACCCAGGAGTTGTGGCACGAATCTGGGAATCATGGGTCTATGACAATTATGCGCAGCCATGCTTTGCACATCTGCGACGAGGAGCGATATAAAATAGACTGCATTTATACTCAGAATAAATCCCTTTTTTCTACGCATATGCAGGAAACAATGCGTACTAGTACAGTCATTGGTACAAGGAGCTTCACTTAGAAGGAAACACAGGGTGTAGCACACTGAGGAGGGGGGAGGGGGGGGCAACGACCCCACCTCTGCTGTACACATGGCTACGACTTCCACTGAATGATCGATAAGTGAAAAGCTACGCGTTGCTCTTGGGAAAGAACACTCGTAAATACCAAAGCCAGCTCGTGCAATTGCGATTGTAAGCACTTTCGTGTTGGAAATACTTTCCCTGTCGTGTATATACTTCTGCTATGTCTGCTGCCCATATTACCGATTACCTCTAAAATGCACAATTCAATTGCGTATGCATGCCAGTGCAAAAACGGCAACTGGCTCACGCACAAAACACTTGCCACTTATTATTACCGAGGCCTTGCGAGCCACCATCTAGCTCGCACCCAATTCCCTGCAGGTTCTTTTTCATTCGTTGCATTATTACTTTTTCCAGCTTTGGCGTCACAACTGAACAATTGCTCCGAAGGGCGAGTAATAAACGATCCTAACAGTACTTACGATCATGACGTTCAGGACATAATAGCCCTTCTGGACATGAAGCTCGCCGTGTCGGCAGTCTGAATCCCTCTGGCTTGCGAATGGCGACCAACGTGCCATCGGCACACGCCAGCACCCCTGGGATGCAACCGCGTAGCACAAACTCCACCTTTGCCTCATCCTTAGCAGCTGTTGTCAGTAGGAAGTCCGCCACCCTTTTTCTAGCAGCCACGGTAATGATCGCCTCCGTCACCTCGTGGATGGTGTTGCTCACCGCCGGCTGAGACATGCCGATGTGTTCCTCGCGACCAATGCTCTTCTGGAAGCTACCGGTGGCGAAAAATCGCAACGCGCACAACACCTTTTCTCTCTGTGGAAAGGCCACTGGCTCGCTGGCATCCGATGATAGGGTCAAGTTCGTCGCACAAGCTACGCACTGTTCGTTTGGACAGACGAAAACATTGCCGGAACTCTTGTTCGCTGAACTCTTCAAATGCATCTTTTACCTCGCGTCGTCGCCTCTGCTCGGTTAAAGCTACCGCACAGGCAAGGCGAAGTACCGTGTCATGTTGTCACTTAGACAACGCCATGTTGTCTAAGTGCCCCGGTGCCGAAAAGTCGCGCATTTTTTTCCATTTCAATCCAATCCAGGCCACCTTGCAGCCATTTCAATCCATCCGGTTGCTTTCGGACAGTCTCTCCGACCGTTCCTTCGCCTTTCTCCGAAAACCGAAAAAAAAAGAGTCACGTGACACCACAGTTCACGTCACTCATAACGTCACAGCATTCGTCACAGCTTGTATGAGCCAATCGCGTGCGACTCAATGGAAGAGACCGCCTTTGTCCGGATTTGGAACTTTTACATAATTGCGCCACTGAATGACGAAAGATAAGCCGCAAACTTTTCCTTCTTATTTTGTTCAAGCTGATAACATTTCCTGCATGCACTCCGTCAACTGCCCCCGAAACACGTGTTCGTGGTCTCTTTTCTAAATAAATAAGACGTGCAACAACATTTGCACTTATATGCCCCGCCGTGGTGGTCTATACAGTAGCTGCTGACCTACTAGTCACGGGATTGAATTCTGGCGGCGGTGGCTGCATTTCCGTCTACATTTCCACCTGGAAATGCTGTAGACCCGTGTGCCAGCGCCTCCTAGAATTTGCAAGGCCCCTTCACTCTCTTCGTTTCCTTGTCTGACATGGAGGCGGAAATGTTGTAGGCCCGTGTACTCAGATTTGGGTGCACGTTAAAAAACCCCGGGTGGTCAAAATTTCCGGAGCCCTCCACTACGGCGTCTCTCATAATCAAATGGTGGTTTTGGGACGTTAAACCCCACAAATCAATCAATCATCCTTGTCTGACGTCAGCACACCTAGCCCGACGAACTGGTGGGCGTTGTGAGGACCGGTTGGGGAATGCAGGCTCAGTGACTCCCTTCGTTAGGGCGAGCCTGTTAGAACTTGTTTCACCCTGGCAAAGCGAGGTGCTACGCTGCACAAGAATTTTGAAATAGTGCTGGTGGACGTTCTTCGGAGATATTTGAGAGTTTTGGCCCTGGCTGTGTTATTTGGAGTCCAAGCAGTGAAGTTTGTTTGCGTGAAATTACCAGGAAGTTCACAAGATGGGCCGCTGCTGCGTGCCGAACTGTCGTGGAAATTATGACGGTGGACCGAAGGTTCGCTTGTACTCCTTCCTTAAAGACGACCGCAGGATAAAATGGAAACGCGCTATTCGTCGCGAGGATGTCGACATCGACACTCTGTGTAATCCGAAGGTAAGAATTTAAAATTTTCACCGATAAACCTTCACATAAAGCGAATTCTGTGTCGCAGATCTGTGCTAGTGCAGTGCATTACGGAGCAGCGTCACTCTAGATCTCAATCCTTGCTAATTATAACGTTCTACAATGTAATCAGGCAGAAAAACATATATAAAATGTTGCTAAAATATTTTAAAACATTAATTTTGCTTTTGCATATCGCAGGTCAGCGAACTTCGTTTCAAAGCAGAGTATTTGAGGACTACCACCACTTACACGGATAGCAACGGAAAGACTATAGAAGTTCCAATGAGCCTTACTCGACTAACCGAAGATGCAGTGCTGACAATGTTTCCGAACAGCCCCGCTTACCTATGCGACTGTGCTTCCGTTCGCAAGGAGCCTGACGCAAAACGGAAGCACCGTGAAGCAGACCAGCTACAAAAGGACATTGAGATGTCGCTTGTTTCGCACGAAGAAGAGGAACGCAAGAATAGAGTGGCATCTTTCGAGCAGCTCGTGTCACAACTCTCACAGCTTAAGTTGTCCGACTATTGGATAGTGAGCAGCACGGAAGCTGCAGTTATGTTTCTGCATATTCAGAGTAACACACTAACACCAGAGGTGGAACGTTCTGTGGTTGTTTCCGATGAATTGCACATTTCTGCCTACTGGAAAAAGATGAAGCTGCACATTGCTGATGTTCCTATTCCTGAAAAACTAGAGGACATTCGGAGCTTGCACACTATTCTTGAAAGTGTGGAGCATTTCAATGCTCCAGACGTCTGCGAAAAAAAAAGAAAAATTGAAAGCCTGGTTCCACATTATTTTTGCTATTCTTGATGACCTGTCTGATGGTGACCTTCTACCAGAAGAGAAAGTAGAAGCGTTCGAGGTTCTGAAGGAACAGTTGCGCCTTCTACTTAAAGAGCGAGGACCTATGAGATATTCTTCAGATCTTCTTATATTAGCTAGCATTTTTCATACGATCTCTCCTCACGCATACAAATTCGTTCGCAACACTGGGAAATTATTGTTACCTCATTCTTCCACAATATTAAGGCTGTGCAGCAAGTACAATGCAAGTCCTGCAAACGAACAAAGCGATGAAGGCTTTTTGCAGTACATTACAAAAAGGTGAACCTTCTAAAGTCGCACGAAAGAGTCGTAACGCTCATGTTAGATGAAATCCACATCCAGCAGTATTTTGAGTATAAGGGTGGCTCATTAACAGGGACGGCATCGAATTCCTCTGAAGCGGCAAAAACTGCACACGTGTTCATCACAAATTCATTGCTTTCTGCGCACAAAGATGTGGTACACATCCTTCCTGTTTTCAGCATTGAAGCCAGTCATTTGCACGACATCCCGAAAAAAGTAATTTTGGGTCTTGAAAAAGCGGGACTTACAATAATTGCCGTTATTACTGATAACAACGCTGTGAACCGAAAAGTAATGTCATTTTTTTCAAAAAACAACACAATAGACATTGTTTACCCACATCAAGCAGACAATTCAAGGCCGCTATTTTTTGTTGTCGATACTGTGCACTTATTAAAGTGCATCCGTAACAACTGGTTGAACCAGAAAAATGAAGGCTGTTCCATTTTTTATCCCGAATTTTCGAGTACGACATCACAGGTGCAAGTGAAGAAAGCAACATTTGAGACACTTCGTGAACTGTATGCTTCCGAGCAACACAATTTCTCGAAGCTTGAATGCGGACTTACTTATAAGGCTTTGAACCCCTCTAACATCGAAAGACAAAACGAGAAGCTAGCACTGAAAGTGATCAGTCCATTTATTGCAGAAGCACTCGAACTTATGGTGCAAAGCTTGGTTTGAGTTGCGCCCGAGAAACTGCTGAATTTATTGAATTAATACACAAGTGGTGGTGCGTTGTGAACACTAAAACACAATCGAAAGGCAAGTACCTAAGAAATCCTCTTCAAGCACCCTTAAGAAGTATGGCGGACATGCAGCTGCAGTTTCTTAATGCATTTGTGGACTGGCTTGACACTTGGGAAAACTTGAAGATTGGCCCTGGCCGTGCACGACTGTTAACCACGGAGACGCACTCGGCGCTACGTCTCACGCCGTACTCCTTGATCGAAGTCAGTCGGTATTGCCTGGAGGAGCTAGGTTTTGAATATGTCCTGCTTGCAAAGTTTCAGACAGACAGCCTCGAGGAGAGGTTTGGTCGTTACCGTCGGCTATATGGATCCAACTACCATATTTCCGTCCAACAAGTATTTGAATCAGAAGCAAAACTGATGCTTCAGAACTCGCTGGTTTTTTCAGATTTAAAAGAACTGTCCCAACCTAGCAGTATTGTGTTTGATGCAGCCAAGGTGATTGAAGAATATGGCATCAAGTTGACTGAAGAGGACGTGAAATCAAAAAAGCAAAGCTTGCCTGCAATAGTGTATATTGCAGGTTACTTCGCCCACGCCGCTCTCAGGAAAATTCCCTGTGAAGATTGTGCGGCCAACATCACGAGACAAGATAGGGATATACCAATGGTTGATGATATGCTCGTCGAAGGCCTCACAAGAGGGGCCCTAAAATTTCCCCAACCAGTAGTAATAAGTGCTGTTCTGCACACACAAATCGTGCTAGAAAAGCTGACCTCGAAAGAGAACACCGCCCGGTTTCCTGCAGCACGGCACCAAAGGCAGCTTCTTCTCAGTGTGGTGAAGCACCTTTTAATTGACACTGAAGATTTGGACATTTGTTGCAAAGGACACCATCCAGAAACAGTGCTTCACAACTTCTTGTGGGAAGCCACCAACACCTTACAGAAAAACTACGTCCAAATGAAAACCGACAAGTTAACGGCGGCAAAAAAGGGCGCTACACTGAAGAGGAAACTGAAAACGCTCAATTAAGCTACCTTCAACGTCTTGAAGATTCACGTTAGAATAAATAAGTCATGTAGTCTACATGAAATATATTGGATTGTAGTTTATTTCTTTTTGTTCATGGAAATCAAAATGCGCCATACCATATTCTGGCACACTTCTGACGCTATGGCTTTCGGGTACAATAAACAAAGCTTCTTTTAGCATGTCTTAGTTTGACATAACTTCCCCTTAAATTTATATCTGGGCACTTGGCAGAAAAGTACATATATGTGATGAGCACTCTGCGACTTGTGGAAGGCAACCCCACAAACATCTAGTGCATGGAAGTGAGTAGAGCCTGGACGGCTAGCAGACAAACTTTTTCGCGAGGCGTGGCCCACTCGGGCAAGGTGCGTGACGTCACGGAGGGAGTGCGCAGGCCTTAACCTGTTCTAGGTGGCTTTGCGTGTGCTCAGATTCGGGTGCACGTTAAAGTGCCCCAGGTGGTGGAAATTTCCGGAGCCCACCACTACGGCGTCTCTCATAATTATATGGTGGTTATGGGACGTTAAATCACACATATATTAATCAATCAATTTGTACTCGTGTTCCCCTAAATTGCTGCACGCCGAAGCAAGAGTGTTTTTGCAACGTTTTAACTAGCAGCCGTCTAACAAGTGAAAGCGGCTCGTATGCTTCGCGCAGAAGGCACTTTCACGCAATGAGCTTTATCGCAGCTAATTGCACGCGCTTACATTTCTCTGAATGTGTTGTTTTGTTTATTGCGTTTTGGTAACGGCACCCGCTGAATTATAAGCAAATGTGCGAGATCGGTTCATTCTGAGAAAGAAGCCACGCTGTGAAAGCATCTTTGCTTCATGTTGTTTCGTTTTCTTTTCTGGAGGGGGGACAAGCTGCCGTTTAGTGAAGTGCATTGCGCATGACTGCGAATGTTTTTCAAGAACTCGATGTGCTCGGCTCAAAAATATGCACTCAAAATATGCAGGCTCTTGTAATTAGCTGCAATAAAGCTTGTTCCGTGAATGTTGATTCTACGTGAAGCGTACGAGTCGCCTTCACTTGTTAAAAGGGTGCTATTGAAAGCGTTGCAAAAACTGCCTTGCTTCGGCGTGCGGCAACTTGAGGGAACAAGAGTACAAAATTTATTGTGCTTTTTACTTGCCTAAAAAAGAAAACGCAAACACAGGTTTCGGAAACACTAGCCGGAGCATGTGCTGCACACGTCGTCGGAAGACAAAACAACATAGAGGGAAGTTTACGGCATGGTGTTAGATATGGTTTACGGCTTATGTTTCTCTTTCAGCGCTGCGAGTTCATCTTTGTGTGCAGCAAGGGACGCAGCAATACGTCGGTAGTGCGATTATCAGTCAATACATGCCTCACGTCGATAAGCCTTACGTATACGTATACACACGTGGACTGTGCGGACTGCGCCACGCTGGAGTCTCTAACATGGTCGTATGCAAACAATGGCCCACAGATAGGAATATTACATAAGGTCTATACGCAGATATGATGGGGCTGGTGTTAAGGAGCGTCCAACTTCCTTGAATTTGGGAAAGTGGGTTGCCACCTCCACCCTTTCTTGAGAAGTAAGACCAATGCTAAGGCCCTGATTACTTCCTAATACTTCATTTATAAATTAGGTGAAAGCAGGCTGTTTTGGAAAGTGAAGGACAGATGACACTTTCGGATAAACACATGAATATACATGGAAAAAGTTTGCGATATAGGTTGTGTGGCATATTACTGCGATAGCAAATATATGGAGGCTCTCTTCTCGATCTTGCCGCCGGCGTCAGCGTTACTCATCGGGGATGTATTCGTATCTAAATATATGAAAATACAAGAAAGAAAAGAGAACGAAAAAAGAGAACACTCCAGTGCACGGAATCGAACTTGGGTCTTCTAGATCGGGAGTGCACGGCGTTCACCACTGAACCACCGAGAAGCACGTCATTCACCACTTGGACGGCAAACTAGTTATATCTAGCAATAACCGCTGCTCACAGGGATCTCGGGAAAATTATTATGTTTTTAGCATTACCAGCAAGATGGCGCAATGAGCGCGCGTCGCCACATCGGGCGGTGGCACGCACTCAAACCTCCCAAGCTTATTTCGCACTGCTTAAAAGAGAGGAGCGACGCTCTCTCGCAATCCCTTATTTCGCGGTGGGGAGAAGGGGAGGATGGTACGTCTTGGCTGGTCTCGGGCTTTACCTGGAACGACTTTGTTGTAGTTACCGGGCGCACATAGATCACTGCAACCATTGCAGTATCCGTTTGCGAAAAGCATGCGCTTTTCAGACACAGCGAAGTAACAACTGAGACGCTTATCCACCAGCACCTGTACCTGTGAGTTCGTTTCATGTGTCATTTCCGCGTGAGAAACGCGGGAAACGTTTAGATCTGCTACCCATTCTGCGCGTGGCCTTCAAATCTGTTGCTCTCGCATTCATTGCTTCGCCTTTGTGGCAAAGCTGTGACTTTTTTTTTTGTAAGGCTGGTTTTTATATTTATAGGCACGCGCGAAATGATCATCATAGATTATATTCATTAGTTTTATAACTTAACAGAAGTTCCAGGGTTAAAAAATTGGCAGCTCTCGCGTACAGTGGAAATCAATTATATACGAAGAACAAATGTGTAAAGGTGATATGTCACTTATAAAATCAGCACAAAATTACGGGGCGGAAGTAAATTATGTCGTACGTGACTTACTTGTCTTGACTATCATGTTCGCAACCGGCATGTGTGTTCGTTGTTTATTCACATCACGCAATACCAAATTTGGTATATGTGAAGTTAGCGAAACAGCTTCTAGCAGGCTATAAGAGTAGCATGCAGTCATGTTTTTGATGGCGCACGTGTCATGATTATCATGTTTGAATGTCATTTGCTTTTGCCGTCTACTCTCGTAACGTAATACCAAATTTTATATTTTATTTTATTTAGAATACAGCTACTCTATTTCGAGAG